CGGCACAAGGCCAACTTCCTGAAATCCCTCATCACCGACGTAAGCCTGCCCCTGCTGAAATAGGATCGTGGCACAGGTTTAGATTGCTCCTCGTCCAGCCACCACTGTCAGCACCAGTCTCTTGGCAGCAATGTGACCTGCAGTGGAAGATTAATCTGTTCATTTTGTTTTCATTCCTTTATTGCTCTACAAAAGTGTCTGTGCTGTTAAATTGTGTTGCCTCTGCTCTGCGCTGCTCCGTTTCATCACTGCTCCTCAAACCCCTAATGGAACAGAGGCAGCAGAGCCTCCCTTCCCCCCACACATGCACTTTTTTCACCTGCTTGGTGGCTTTTTGGCTGCCTGTGGTGGAGGTAGCAGGACTGAGAGGGGATGGAGCTGCTACAGAAATAGCTTTACTGGGAGACTCCACAGAGATCTTCCAGGCTTTTGACCCTTGAGAGGTCCTGATTGCTCAGCCCAGAGCCTTAGGGAAGCTCGAGATAGAACAAATTTTTTTGTGTCTGCCAGGTAAAGGAGCTGCCAGTGTCCCAAGCACTTGCTCTGCCTTGATTAGCAGGAAAAGCCTGTCCTTAACTTTCTTAGTTTCCTTTTTGGTCTGAGTGTCAGTGGAGGGAGCAGCTGGCCCTCAGTTGCTCTGTTGTCCTCCACAAGTTTGGGACCAGGGTCAGAAATTCTTTTTCCATCTCCCTGACCTGTGGTTCTGGGCTCAAAGCTGGCCAGTGTGTGGTGGCACCAATGCCCACACTTCCCCTGCCAGCCCCTGCTCCAGCCCACTACAGAAGGGGTTGTCCAGGAGCTGCTCTCTGCTTGGAGTAGAGGCAGAGGTATCCCTGAAAGCAGCAGGTTTTGCTGCCTGTCCCTTCTCCCTCTGCCCAGCAGGTAACAGCAGCTTGGCTGTGGAAGGGAACATTCCTGGCTAATGATTCCTGCACAGGTTTGCAGCTCCTCTCCCCCAGTGACAGCAGGGAAGTGTGCAGCATCCTTGCCCCCTGCAGACCTCAAGGGAAGGCCGTGGATCAGCAAGTGGAGATCTGCTCTTGTATCGCTGTCGCTCCTCTTGTCACGGCCTGTAAACATCCCCAGCTCTGTTAATTAGCACTTCCCTGGGTGGTTCATTATCCAGCTGGGAACTTGCATTAGTTCCAGTGACCTGAGATTCCCACAAATGCTATTGGAAAAGCCAAAGCCCAGCCTGCTGAGCAGCGTGGGGTGCCTGTGTGTTGTGACCCTGTGCTGCTTTCTGTCCCCCCAGCTGCACATGAGGATCCACGCAGCGTACGGATCCACCAAGGACATCTCCGTGTACAGCTCCATCAGCCTCCCGCCCACGCACATCTACATCGTTGGCCGACCCACCAAGAAGCTGCAGAGCCAGTGTCAGGTAGGAGCCAACTTGCCTGAGCCCTGGAGGTGCTGCCAAGAGCCTCCCGTGGGAGGGAGGTGGGAATTTGGTCATCACAAGTCTGCTGACTGAGCTAGCATTGGCCAGCAGGGAACTGTCCCAGGGAGAAGGGCCACATAATGGGTCTGAGCGGTTCCACGGCCGGTCACCCCAGAGAACTCGGCAGAGTGACCCTCTCTGGCTGCCAGTGGCTCTCAGGGAAACGTGTCCCACCCCTCTAACGCCTGCCCTCACCCCGCAGTTCATCACGGAGGGCTACGCAGCCCACCTGGCCCAGCTGGAGTACAACCACCGCGCGCGCCCCGCCAAGAACACCACGCGCATGGCGCTGCGCAAGGGCAGCTTCGGGCTGCCCAGCCAGGCCGAGTTCCTGCGCAAGAGGAACCACCTGCTGCGCACCATCTCCTCCCAGCCCTCGGCCAGCGGCCACCGGCCCGAGCGCACCCAGAGCCAGTCGGACAGCGACAAGGACAGGGACAGGGAGCGCAGCCAGAGGAGCATGAGCATCGCCACGGGCTGCTGGGGCCGGAGCGCCGCGTCCCGCCTGGAGTCTGGCCTCTTGGGGCAGAAGTAGCCAGGCCAGAGCCAGGATTGTCAGCTGCAGCCACCGGAGCAGAAAACAAAAGGAAAGAGGGACGAGGCCAGTGTTTCGGGCTGGAAGGGTAAATATGGTGCTACTCTAATAACACGGTGTTCTGGGGAGAGACGGGGCGTTTCCCACACAGAACGTGCAGGCCTTGCAGCGGGGGCGTCAGGTTTGTGCAGCGTGAGCCCGAGGAACAGCTGGAAACCGGGGGGAAGTCTCCGGATCAGGATGGCGCTCTCTCCTGCCTCCTTCTCTCGTGCGGGGTCAGTGACTGTAAATAGGTGCCTCCTCGCCTTGTTAGCCATCCACACGGTGACCGAGTGCTGTCCTCAGAGCCACAGCAACAGGGCACGAGGCTGGGGGAGCTTCTTCTGGGCTGTCCCGGGAGTCAGGTGGGGGCTCTGGGGTTGGGTAACGCCGCTCCCCCGGCCCCAGCGAGGGATTTGTCGTGGGCTGTGCCAGGCAGAGCGACCGAGAGCTTTTCCTGGACAGGGAGCTCCACGTGCAGCCACTTTCTCGAGGAGCTGGTGCAGTGCAAAGCTGAAGCTGCATCGAGGCCGTTGGCAGAGGCAGAATGTCGGCAGATTCGTGCCCAAGACAGCGGGGTCATTATTGTTATTACTGTTATTTTTTAAACAGATCTTTTAGAAGCCGATGGAATTTAATGTGTTGACCTATTAAAAGAGGAATACAAGCTATTTTGTTTGAGCTGTTACAAACCTCAGACACTTAATTGCTGTTAAAGTCTCCAAATAGTCTCGCTATGTATTATTTCCAGCAAGTAACCACCATATATTTGGAAGCAGCTGAAGGCACTCAGCAGCTGGATTGCATTGCAGTTCTTCTCATCCAAATGCAGGGTCTGACTCTCTCAACGTCCACCTCTTGAGACCTTTTTTCTTCCCAGGTTCTCTCCAAGTTCAGTAGCAGCTTTCATGGGAACTAGACTCGCTTCTTTTACCTATAGTTACTGAACTGTAAAACCTCATTGTTTTTTGCACTGATGATTTTTAGAATGGAAACCTGTTACCATCTCATGTAGCTACACCAGTGTTTGTAGTGCATGACAATGAAATATTGCTAAGCCAGGGTGTGTGTGGATATCTATACATATATACACACACACATATATATATGTATATACTTAAAAAAAAAAAAAACCACAAAAACAATCTGTGCAGAAGTTTTTCCAGCAGTAAGGAGACTGTAAGGAAGTGTGCCAACAATGTCAGGCAACCTTAAGAAAAGGCCATATCTTAATTTTTCTGGTGTGTTTCTCAGTGGATGTGCCTGAGGCACTGGGTTTGTGCTGCTGGAGCGAGCCGGCGGGCGCGTGGCAGAGGGCTGGCACCCAGACAGGGACAGAGAACAGTGCCTGGAGCCAGGGCTTGCCAGAAAGCCCCTCAGTGCTGTCCCTCCCGGGGCCAGCCAAGGTTCCCTCCTGGCACACACCTCCCGGGGCGGAGGGGCATCCACACAGGGGTTCCACGGTGCCCATTCACAGACTCCAGTTGGCCTCTTCACGTGGAGATTTTCTAGTCCTACCGAGCTCCCTGACTGTGTGTAACCCCGCTTTCCCCACCACACTCTCCTGTCTTTATATCACTTTCTACTTACGAGGATCTTATTTATAACAGAGAATTTTTTAGACTGGCTGCTTCATTTTCTTACCAGTTTCAATAAGAACGGTGCAGGACGGCCGCACTGAGATACACAGCACTGTGAACGCTGCTCTGCTCACTGCCTCTGGGCCACGGCAGACAAATCCAACTCATCCAACTCATGTGCTCGTGGTGTGGAGGGTCCAGGCCGAGGCAGAGCAGGGACAGTGCGGAGCTGCCGCCGGCATCAGAGCCCCTGGAGCGCTCAGACCCGACTGCAAAACGTTTAACCACTTCTCTTTGGTAATTATCCAAGAACAGAATGTACCTGATGACTTTTTGTTACCAGAAACTGACTTCCCTTTCTGCTGACTCAGCTTGGCTCTCTCTGAATGTACATCCAGAGCTTTTACTGGGTTTGAAAACATTGAGAATTTGTCCCAGCTTTTTGCTAACCGAATGTTCTATCAAACAGATGCCATCTAAGTAGGAAGCCAAGCCACAATCCATCCTGTGAAGTCACCAAACCACATCACTAAATAATTTCCGCAAATTTGGATATGGCCTTTGCAAAATTCACCTTTCCTCCAAGTCCAGAACCAAGGCATGACCTGTACATTTTCCAGTTGACGAGATGTTCACATTTTCTTATGTGTAGATAGTGTAAAACAGAGGCGAATGTAAATGTTCAACATAAAAAGTGGATATATAAAATTGAAAGTTATTTATTTATGTAGAGGAAAAAAAAATGTCTGGAGGGACTGGAACCTTCAGGGTTTATTAATATTTTAAAAATGTAGCTTTTTGTTTCAGGCATTATGTACAAAGCAATTATTTTATGGACCAAGTTTAATGTAACTGTCAATGAATGCAGAAGTGCAATATGATACTCACCCTCTCCATCACTTCATGTTTGAAACAGCTCCTAACAGTTAGCCTGACAATCACAGCACCTCCGTCCTCATCCTTTGTTGAGCTTCTTGAACCTTGCCCGGGTCCTTCCCCTGGCCCCCCATCCGTTGCCATTGTATGGATCCAACACGGAGAAGCAATTGTAGAGCAGGACCTTTATTGCTGCAATAATACCCTGGGAGGTGGGTGTAGTTACCAGGAAATAATGCCACTAAGTTTCTCTTCACCAACTCAGTCCATCCCCGTCTCCATCGCTCAATCCTCAGCCGCCCCCATCTGGCACTCATCCCTCTGAAGCAGAGATCAACACTCACAGAACAATAGCAATAGTTTCACTCTGTGTTTATAACCTGTTTGTCCCGAGCTGTTTTGGAGAGCAGTGCATGTGACCCGATGCCTTTCCACGTGTATGGAAGAGGATCCGTTTGGATGAATGTATATTCCATCCTTACTGAAGGGGCACTGTCAGGGTAAAGACCTAATTTATCCTTGTTACGAGTAACTTGTTTGCTTTGAAAGGAGAGAATGGGAAGTTTCTTGTCCTCCTCCCTCGGCCGTTGTCTGGGCAGCCCTCGGTGACAGCCCACGTCCTGTTCTGCACATCAGCACAACACAGCCTCGGGCTTTGGGGTTGCTTTTCTGTTTCCATGGGAATCAAACTCTGCTGCAGAGCTCAGATTTTTTACGAAAAGCAGCTTTTTATATTACTGCACCCTTAGGCCGGACTTTCTACCTGACGCTGGTCCCTTTAAAGTCTTTTAAAAAACCAGTGAGAGGAGCCCGTGCATTCCCTCCGAGTCGTTTTCCTGGGTTTGCTCAGATCACTCAGTCAGATGAGGCAAAATCCTAATACCAAAAACAGTTTACAGTGTCGGGGGCACGAGCCCAGAGCAGAAATCAGCCAAAGGGTCACCACCACCCTCCCAGCAGCCGCCGTGCTTGCTGTAGCAGCCCCTTCTTCAGGTATCGCCACTGTTTGCTGCATTTCCTATTAGTTCTAGAAGCCTTACGGTCCCCTCCCTCTGCCTGTTGATACCCTCGACTGTCAATTTTATATTCCAACAATGTTAGTTATATTTTATTTATAAAAAATTGCTCTAGGGGTACCAGCTGTGCGTGGGGAAGCAGCGGGGGATGCCCGAGGGCGCCGGGAACGCCCCGCGTGTGCCGTGCCGATGACTCGCGTGTGTGTGGCAAACCTTCTGTACAACTTCCTTCTCCTCCTTGCTGTTAGTGCATCGTTCCAATGCCTGGTGTGCTTTGTGTACAGTACCATTGTGAGTTACACAGATTAAAGAAACGGGAAGGCTCTTCTCTGTCTGCTTTTTTGGGGGGGTGGGGGAATACTTCAGGAACAGACAAGTCATCAGATGTGAGCAGGTGCCAGTTTAATGGGGTTACAGCCATGAACAGAATGAGGAAACCCTCTGTGGAGATCAGTCCTGCAGGACTCATTTGTCCTTTAACCCATTTGTCCTTTTGGTTTTTTTTTACAGTTTGCAGATTTATGGACTTCCCAGCAAGGGAAAAGGCTGCTGTGTTTGCTTCAGAGCAGCCCTGGGCCTTGAGAAGCCCGGAGCCACAGTGCTGCCCAGGGCCTGTGCTGTGGGGAAGGGACACGAGTTGCATGCAGGAGCAGAGAGCAAGGCAAAGCCACCCCTGCACAAAGCACACCTGCACAGATGCCAGTGCAGTGTGCCAGGTCAGTGCTCCCCTACCTGAGGAGGTGAAGCTGCAGGAAGGCTGGGAGAAACTCAGGGGTGCAGAGGAGCTGCAGGCTGAGCAGAGCCACAGCCACTCCTCTCTGAGCAGGCTCAGTGAGTGCAAAGGGCCTGTGAGCAGGGAAAGGGCCATGGGCAGCCCCTGAGGGGAAGAAGTGGCAGCCAGCTGTGTGTTGTGGCCTTGGTACACACCCTGTCCTGCCCCCAAAGCCCAGAGCACCCTGAGGTGCTCAGCACCCTCGAGCCTGTCCCCTGGGTGCTGCTGAGCTCCTCCAGCATCCAGAGGAGCATCAGGGCAACTGGCTCAGGTACATTACAGCCACACTGGCCTGAGCTGGGACAGGGAGGGGAGAAGCTGTTTACTGGGAGATGAGCCACTAAAGTCGCTCTCCTTCCCGGTCAGTAACTTACAGAGCAGCTGGAAAGGGCCCCTGGGGAACATCTTGACACGGTGCTGTCTGCGAGGTCCTGAGGCAGAGGCTCCCCTCGGGCTGGCAGGGGCAGCAGGAGGGGCTCCTGGGCTGCCTGGTGCCTGCCCTCACTGCAGCATTCCCGTCCTCACCTGGAAGGCCAGCCCGTCCCCACGCGTGGCTTGCTGCAGGGGACACACAGCACTCACAGCAGGCCCTGCTCTGGGCTGCAGCACCACCCCGGGGGCCCTGGCAGTGCTGCAGGGCTCAGCTTGGCCCCAGGGTGGAAACACAACCCCTCTGGCTGCAGCAGCTCCCTGGCTGTGCCCAGCCACCCCGTGCAGCTCATGCTGGTGGCCAATTCCCACTACCTTGTTAATCTCCTTGTGTCTCTCCTTGCTGACGATTTCTTCCAGGACTTCCCCGTCCCCTTTAATGAGCCTGCAAGACAAGCACAGGCCCAGGAGCCATGAGGGTACTGGCCAGTTCCTGCAGCTGCAAAGGTGCTGACCCCCACCCCGAGGGCTCCTGCTGTGCCCCAGCTCCCCCAGACCCAGGAGCAGGTGCTGGGCTGATGCTCCTCCAGGCAAGGCCAGCGCTGACCCACCCCTGACATTGTATTTTGTGACTCTGTTTTTGTGTCAAGCTTAAACAGCAGAGCAGGCTTTGCAATTGCTCCCGTGGGATTAATGTCACCACACTGCAGCAAGGCAGGAGTTCTCCCCTGAGAACTGAGGACCAGCTGGCTCTGCCCCAGGCTGTGGGCACTGCCTGCTGTGTGCAGTCAGTCACACTGGCACAGCAAAACTCCTGGTGAAAGCATCCCCTGTCACCCTACAATCCACAGTGCCTCAACCTATGCAAAACCTCTTATTTTTCTCACAGAATTCAGGTGTGGTCCTGGCTGCCCCAGGAATCTGCAAAGCCATTCAGGAACAGGAGCCAGTTTGGGCCTGAAATGCAGCCAGGATGGGGAATATCTTGCTGAGCAAATTCCAAGCAGTGTTGGAGGCGGCTCACACCTCCAGACATGAACAGAAATTTAATTGTCTTCATTACGTGCCTTACAGGGAACCGACCTTTGTTCCACACCTCCCTGAGCCCTGCAGGCTGCCTTCTATTTTAAGACTGGACTTGTCATACCCAATTCTCTTCAGCATGACGTTTTCTGCTTGCTGAGAAAATGCAGTTTATTAAAAACTGGGTCATTTCTATTTGGCAGCTAAATGAACTTGGGTTTGATCACTGCCTGTAACCCACAGGGCACATGCTCCTCACTCCCACCTGGGTGCTTGCTTCCAGGGCCCAGGGCTTTGGAGCTGAAAGGTAAGTGGATGCAGCAATGGGATACTGGGACAGCCCAGAGTCCCTTGTGTGGAGCCCCAGCACAATTCAATGATTTGGTGTCATTGTGTCCCTTTCTGGGTAAGTCACACCAGGCCTGATGAGGGGGGACCTGTGAGGGGTTGGCTCAAGCCTTTGGTGGTGCTGCAGTGCCATGGACAGGCATCCTGCAGGCCCCCAGCCCGCTCAGCACGGATGGGAATGGAGAAGCCATCTCCCTCTTGCCCAGGGTCGTACCTGGTTCTCCCTGTTTCGGGATCCACCACTCTCCTTATGACGCTCTGCCTCGCGTCCCACTCCTCCTTTGTCATTGGCTTCATGGCCTGGATCCGGGATTTCTGTTCATCTGTCAGAACTGGAGTGCAGTGCTCAGTCAGAGCTGTGCTCCAGGAGAGGGGCACAGCACCAGGGTTCAGCCCACAGACAACACTCCACGCCCCATTCCTGGCAGTGCTCGGGGTGTGGTGACAAACCTTGCAAAGAAAGGGACACTTCACATCCCAAAGCCAGGACCAGCTTTGCCAGGATTTACTGCTGACTGTGTCCTTCCTTTGGCCTCTTTGTTCCCCACTCACATCTATAAACCACATCCCAACACTTCACAAAGCAATCTCTGAGTGTGGCTCAAAGCCATACAGAGGAGGGAGGAGAGCTTGGGGCTCCTCCCTGTTCCCAGCCCTGCTTCCCCCAGACACCCCAGATGGAAAGGGACCAGCAGAGGCTCCAGCAGGAGGGAAAGAGCCTCGTTACCTGGCCCAGAGTCCACCACTGACTCCTTCTGCCACTGCTCCAGCGAGGGCCCGGGCACCTCTTCTCCCTTGGCTTTCTCCTCCTTAGCCCTCTCCTTTGCCTTCTTCTTTGATTTCTTCTTTATTTTTTTCTTCTTCTTCTTCCTCTTCTTTTTGTCTTTTTGTTTCACTCGCTTTTTTTTGCTGTCTTGACTCTTCTTCACTTTGGAGTCGCTGTCACTGGAGTCATCAGAAGAGGAGCTGGAGGAAGAGGAAGATGAGGAAGAGCTGGTGGACGAAGACGTCCCAGAAGAGGTACTAGCCTTCCTCTTCTTTTTGTCCTTTCCTTCCTTTTTCTTTTCTGCAATACACAAGAAGAGGGTGAGTGGAGCAGCCAGGCCCTGCAGCAGCAGAGATGTTGGGTTTTATCCCCCTCCCAGCCTGGTTTCTTTCCTGCCTGGAATTCCCCTCTGTGCCCACGTTCAACCCAGGATTCTCTGTGGTACCAGGGCAGCTCATGGAGGGGCTGAGAGCTCTGCACTTGTCAGAACGAGACCAAAATGAGCACAAAGTGCAGGACAAAGTGACAGACACCAACTAAAACAGGGACCCTCTCCTTCCCCTGAGCCCCCTGTGTGCCCCTGCCCCAGGGACGTGGTGACACCAAAGGCTCAGGGGCCTTCCCCACCTTCCCTGGCTGCTGCCAAGCTCGAGGTGTGTCCGTGAGAGCCAGAGATCCTCTTCCTCAGTGGAGAGCTGCTGCCCTGCTGCGAGTCCTTGCTGCTCTTCCTCCTCTTCTTCTCCTTCCTCTCCTGCCTGCTCCGAGAGTCGCTTTTGCTCCTGCTCCGCGACCGCTTCCGAGAGCGGCTGCGGGCCATGGCAGCTCCTGGGGAAAGGAAGGGGTCACACCAGAGCCACGGGGGCACCAGCCCTGCCCAGCAGCCCCAAAATCCTTCAGTCTGAGCCAACAGCCCTGGCAGACCTGCTCCTGGTAAACTCCCTCCCTGCTCACACAGCTCTGCCCATCTCCCATCGCAGCCGTGGCCTCGGGGAATTTCACCAACCCCCAAGAGGGAGCCTGGGCAGGGAGCTGGCACAGGGACAGCCTCAGCTGCCCACACAAGTGTCCCCAGACAGGCTTTCCACCAGGAAAACCTTCCAGCAGGTTTTCCCTGCTCTCCTGCTGTTTGTCCCTGGAGGATTGGGCTGACCCCGCTGGGGCAGGCACGGAGGGGCAGCAGCAGGGCTGTGTCTGCAGCAGGGCTGTGCCCGGGGCCACCCCATGGTCACCCCACGGTCACTCCACGGTCACTCCACGGTCACTCCATGGTCACCCCAAGGTCACCCCACGGCCACCCCATGGTCACTCCATGGTCACTCCATGGTCACCCCAAGGTCACCCCACGGCCACCCCAAGGCCACTCCATGGCCACCCCAAGGCCACCCCACGGCCACCCCAAGGTCACTCCATGGTCACCCCAAGGCCACCCCACAGCCATCCCAAGGTCACTCCATGGTCACCCCATGGCCACTCCATGGTCACCCCAAGGTCACCCCATGGCCACTCCAAGGTCACCCCAAGGCCACCCCACGGTCACCCCATGGCCACCCCATGGCACCATCCTCCATGAGGAGAAGCTGCAGCACAGGTGGCCACAGGCAGGGGTGATGGAACAGTCAGCAGCACAGAACGTCCTCCCCGCGTCCATCACCCCGTTACTTAAAATGCTGCGAGCAGGCACAAGCCAAGGGGGAGAATGAATTTTTAATATTCCAATTTACTCTTAGAAAACAGATGATGCATTGAGCTGCTACCCCTGTCCATCAGCCCCAGGCCAGTGTGATCCATGCTCTCATTAATTTAGAAAACAAACTGGCACCGTGGGCAGAGCAGGAGCTGGGAAACGCTTTCTCACAGCCACCTTCCAACCACCACATTTAATGAATTGTTTGTTTACCACCTCAGCATTCCCAGGCAGCAATTTGGATTTGCTCCCAAGCGAATCAGACCTTTGATTGATTTCCACAGGGAAATTTTAACCAGAAAAAAATCCAGAACCAATGACAATCAATTACAGGCATGCAGGGAAGGATGAGAGGATGAGAGTCCTCCATGGACACACACCCAGCAGCTGCCCCTTGCACCAGGGCCTTGCTGGGGCAGCGTTTGGGACTCAGATCTTTTCATTCTGGCTGTGGCAGCAGGAAAAACCCAAGTTATCCATCCACAGCAGGGGGAAAAACCCACTGTTATCCATGCACAGCAGCAGGATCAAACCCACTGTTATCCATGCACAGCAGCAGGATCAAACCCACTGTTATCCATGCACAGCAGCAGGAGCAGTGGCGCTGGGGCTGGGCTCAGACAGCAGCATCCCCGTGACGAACCCCAAATCCGCCCCAGCAGCATCCCGGGCTGGCTGAGCCCCAGGCCGGGTTCGCCTCCGCCCTGACCCCGGGCTGGGCCCGCAGCGGCTCCTCCCGCCCCGCCCAGGCCGGGCCCCGGCGCTGCTCTGCCCTGGGCGCCTGCAGGGGCCGGCCCTGCCCTCGCCCCCGGCACGGGGAGCCTGCGGCACGCAAGGTGCGCTGGCCCTTTAAGAGCTCAGCACCGGTGCGCTGGCCCTTTAAGAACCCGTGTAAGGTGCGCTGGCCCTTTAAGAACCCGTGCAAGGTGTGCTGGCCCTTTAAGAGCTCAGCACGGGTGCGCTGGCCCTTTAAGAACCCGTGCAAGGTGCGCTGGCCCTTTAAGAGCTCAGCGGGCGCGTTCTGCGCGCGCGGCTCCAGGCGCGGCCCCTTTAAGTGCGCAGCTCTTTATCAGCCCCCCCGGCCCCGGAGCCGCCGCAGCGCTCGGGCCTGTGCCCCCCCCCGGGCCCCCTTCTCCGGTGTCCTCAGCGGCCCCGCCGCAGGTAAGAGGAGCGGGAGGGAGCGGGGACTCACCGGGCCGGGTCCCGCCGCCCCGAGCGGGGCTCCCGCCGCCGGGGCCGCGCTGGCCGCCTCCCGCCTCCGTCCGCCACGCGCGGGGCCGGGCGGCAGCCGGGCCGCGCTCTTTGGTTCCGGGGGCCGCCTAGCCCGGGCAGCAGCTCAGTTTTTGGGGTGAATTCGAGCAGATTGGGAGCGCTCACGCTCGCCAGTGAAGGGGGTAAAGGCTTCGAGACTGCGTTTCTTGGCAGCGACTCCTCGCTCAGACACAACCGCCGGCTTCCTTCCCTCGGTGTAATTTTGATGAGCTTTGGTAATGAGCAGCTCATCGGCGCCCTGTGTAAAGGCAGCCCCAGCCAAAATCCAGCAGCCCCAGCCAAAATCCAGCAGCCCCAGCCAAAATCCAGCAGCCCCAGCCAAAATCCAGCGGGGCCGCAGGGAGAGCTTCAGTGAACACCTTTTGTGCGAGCTGCTCACGTTCAGCCCTCCACAATTACCGAGTCTAATTACTGCACTGAACGCCTCAATGGAAAAGCCCCTGATAAATTCAGCAGCATTATCGAATAATCGGGTTAATTTTCCACGGAGAAATCAGACGGTATTTGGCTTCTTTAGTTTGTTTAGCAGATGGAAGAGTCATGTGCTTTCAGCCAGCTGGAAGGAAGGAGGGGAAAGCGCTCGACCCTTCCAATCCTTCAGCTCCTGGGGGATCTTGGTGCCAAATTAAGCAGCCCCAGGCCTCGTCTGCTGCACCCAGGCTGGCAGAGTTATTTGATATTTTCACTGGCTCATGTAACTAAAGCAGAGGGAGTTAAATGTACATCTCGTCCTCCTCTGGGGAGTTCTGCTGTGCTGCAGGTGGCTCCCAGAGCTCTGGCTCTGCTTCATAAGGTTCACAAAACCTTTGAAAGGGAAGTTTGTGCTCCCAGGAAGCCTGGGGAGATCTCCCAGCCACCCTGGGGGATCAGTGTTGCTCCTGAGCAGATCCTTCCTGGCCACTCAGCCACACAAAGCTTCCCCTCTCCTGGCAGAGGACAGGAGGCCCTAAGAACAGCAGAAAATGGTTTATTGTCCCATTGTGGGTTTTCCTGAGCCTGGGTGAGACAAACATCCAGTGATGGTAATTCCCAGCAGCTCGCTGTGAATCACCTGCATCTCATCCTGAGCAGATCCTTCCTGACCACTCAGCCACACAAAGCTCTTCCCCTCCCCTGGCAGAGGACAGGAGGCCCTAAGAACAGCAGAAAATGGTTTATTGTCCCATTCTGCCCCGTTTCCAGGGGCACCTGGGGTGCTGCTGCTGGCAGAGAGGCCAAGGAGCTTTGGCTGCTTTCCTGGTGCACTGGGAAATATTGAGAGAGCTCCTGCAGGGAATCAGAGCTGGGCTTTCTGTGCCTCACAGTCCTCCAGCCCCAGCCTGAGCCCTCGGGAGCTGAGTTCCAGCTGGAATCCTGGCAGGGCTGGCTTTGCACCCCTCCCAAGGCCAGAGCAGCTCCCTGCAGGACTCACCCCGCAGCGCAGAGGTCAGAAAGGAGCTTGGGGCAGCTCGGTGTGGGGAATCCCCGCTGCTACCCCAGGGCACAGACATCCACGGTGCGCGGCAGCTCCTCCCCCGGCGGCGGCTCCGTGAAGCCGTCCCCGAAGCCCTCGGCCTCCACCAGCTCGGGTTTCCTGCGGCACATGGGGCACAGGCGGTTGCGGATGGCCGATGATCTCATCCACACGATGAGGTTCCAGCGCTGCCCCGAGGCGATGGGCAGGGCCCCGTGGATCTGTCCCCCGCGGTGCAGCAGCCCCCGGCCCCGCACGTGCTCCACCTCGATGTACCGGGGCACGGGGCTGGGCTCCTGCAACACAGGCAGGGGGATTTGTCACACCGTGAGATCCCTCAAGTGGCTGGGATTTGTCACCTCTTACCCCACGGCACCCAGGGAGCACGACAGAGAGGGGAAACTCTCATTCCCAGTGCCAAGCTCAGAGGGAATTTAGAGAGAATCAAGAAAAAATCCCATGTTTCACTGCTGTGTGAGAGCGTCTACCCCTCTCTTGCCCTGAAAACATGGGCTAGAGATGTAGGCTGAAGTCACATCTGAAATCAATCTCTCCCTCAGCACCTCCCTGCTCACAGTTTCAGATGTGGAAAGGGGATGGTTTGTTCCACTCCAGTTTCTACTGTGAAGCTGCATCTGTCCTCTCTTTAAAATACTGAATACTGGTATTGGATGCTGCAATATTGCAGCAAAAGAGGCTCCTGTATAACCAAGCCATGCAAGAAATGGGGAAGGGACAGAGCAGGTTTGGCTGTCAGAAATGAAGAATTGTTTTGTAGAACACAGTGGAAGCCTGGAAGCTGAGGGGTGAGGAGGGAGAGACGAGTGAGCCGTGCTCAGTACCTCGTTGAATTCCCCAAAGTACAGATTTCCTTCCGTGAATTCTTTTCCCAGGGAAACGTTCAGGGTGACTTCAGCGTTGTCGTAGTGAGAGCTCAGGTCCAGGTCCTCGTGCAGGGAGTACCTGACCACGAAAGCTTTGTGGCTGTCCAGGCAGGCCCCGCCCAGCTCCGGGTACAGCAGCGCCGTGATGGGCAGGAGCCGCTCCCGCAGCGGCGTCAGGAAAGGCTCGTCCATGCCCAGCTCGTTCAGCAAAACCTGAGCGAGGACAGCAGGGGGGAGCAGCTCAGCAGCCTCGTCTGCTGCTGCTCCTCAGAGCTCTGTCCTGCAGCCCTGCTGCTGGCTCAGAGCACTTTGGAGCAGAGGGAAAAGGAAGGATGATCAAAGTGAAAAAGGATGGGGGAAAACAGAGTAATAAGATTAAAAGGTGAGTGTTCTTTAAAAACTGTCACCTTGATTAAAATTTGGAGGAAAAGAAGCACAAGGGATGAGTCCTACCCCGTAGTTGTTCATGGTGTTGGGCCTGCCTTTAGGCATATCCGACTGCTCAAAGTTCTCCAGCTCATCCACCAAGGCCTGGCAGAACTGCTCTGTGAACACCGGGAGCCGATAGAGCCTCTTGTCTGCCGGGACAGGGCACAGGCTTTGCTGGGGAGATTCCCAGTGCTCCTGGCTGCCTGTCCAGCTGCACTGTGCTGGTGGCAGTGAGCACAGCACCCACAGGCTCCCCTTGTGCTGGGACCATTTCCTGGGTCAGCCCTGGGGTGTATTTGTTGCTTTTCATGCTGGTTTTTTTGTTGTTGTTGTTGTTTTTCATGCTGGTCTCCCATTTCCAGAGCAGAAGGCTGTGTCTGGAACTGGTGCCCTGGATAAATCCAGAGCTCTGCACACATGTATTGCTGTCCTTTGCCTTGAGGAAAGGAGGCAGCTCTGCCTCTTCCCCTCTGCACCCTGGCAGCTTTTCTGCTAGGCAGGGAGCTGCCTCCAGGGAAGCTGAAAACCCAGCTCTCTTTTTCAAAGACTGAAATCCAGACTGAAGCTGTTTCAGCCCAGACTAACCCACAGGAACTGTCTGCAATGGGAAAGCACTCAGGGAGGAAAGCCAAGCTCCCAGTGCTCCCTCAGCAGGCTCCCTGGTGAGGTGTGGAACAACCAAAACCCCAGCCCTGCTGCAGCTGGAGCCTCTGGTGAGACATCAGCAGGCTGGGATGGGAAAGAAGAAAACAGCCTCTGATCCAGAGCAGAGCTGCTGCCTCTCCAGAGACCCTCCTCAGGCAGGAGAAACATCCCGTGTGCCTCAGCCTGTGCCACAGCAGAGCTGTTCCACACAGGGCACCAGGGACTTGTGTGTGACTCAGGTGTTTTCTTTACCTGAGAAGGACTCGAGGTAGCTCAGGAGGCCCTGGAGATCAGCACCTGGAGATGTGCAGAACCTCTCGATTTCCAGAAACTCTGGGGCCAGGAAGGAATCCTGGTGTCAAGGGAAGGATGGGAGAAACACACAGAAACACAATCAGCCTGCAGAGCCCAGAGGGAAACGGAATCCCAGGGAAATACCCAGAGCCTGGGGAGCAAGGCTGAGTCACACTCAGTAATTCCACAGCAGGAATGCAGAAAGGCACTGGTGCTTTACCAGGTGGGGCAGGGAACTTGCTGCTTGCTTTGGTTCATGTTTTTTTTAGGAGTAACTGGCCAGATTTATCACAGACATGATAGGAAAGAGCCTTTCCTGGCTGGAACACCAGGAATCTTGCCTGGAGAGCACAATGTGCTGTCGTGATTTTAAAGTTTTAAATCCAGTTTTCATATGCTACACCTGTGTTTTAATTCAGTGCAGCTTTAGCACCGTGCAGTCCCGAGGAGAGGGGGAAACAAACTGCAAAAATAAAACTCTCAGGTGATTTTTTTCTGGGTGCAGAAGGGATTCCAAACCTCCTGTGTACCTGCAGAGTGTACACCTCTGGGCGTTTTGGTTTGTAGCACTTGGAGATGATGGCTCTGCGTTCCACTGACTGATGGATTAACTCTTTTCTCCTCTTCACTTCTGCCTCAATCTGCAAGTAAACAACAGAGCACACTGTCAGAAATCAGCAGGGCTGAGTGAAACAGCTCCAGGAATCTGCTCACTGTTTTAAACCAGTTATTTTTGTTTGGGGGCACCTCTGGGAGACAGAGTGTTTGCTTTGGTTCTCTGTGGTCAAGACGAGTCCAGTAAATATCGGGAACCAAATGCCTGGGAGGAGCTGATGTTCCCTTTACACAAAAGTGACTGAGGAGTTTTCTGTGGAAGTGTCAAGTGCAGCTGTGAGATCTCAGCCCTTTCAGGCATTCTGACACTTCCAGGATCTGGCTTTTGTCCTGACAATAGAGGCATTGTCCAAAACAGAGACGTTTGCTGGGAGTGAGACAATGCCTGTCATGAAGGGATTAGTGCTAAGTGTGGTGGAGACCGGCTAAGCTGCCCTTTCAGAGCCAACAGCTGATCCCGGCAGCTCCTCCCGTTTATTTCCCCCTCACGAGATTCATTTGTAGCAATCCTCACTGAGAGAGTGAGCAGCCATTCCCTGGGACCAGGCAGCTCCCGTGTTCATTCCCTTGGGAACCAAGCAGACAAATCCAACAGATTTCTCAGCTTCCTTCCCCTCCCTGCCAGCCCCAAGGTCCCTGGGCACCAGCTCACAGGGCAGGGATCTGTAACCCAGCACTGCCTAAAAAATCAGTATCAAGTGGGAAATTTGGACTGGAATTGCTGCTGGACAGGGAGAGCTGTGCCCTCCCCAGCCAGGGACAGCCACTGTCATCTGCTTCCTGCCAGCACTGACTCCTGTTTGTTTGTGTAATTTTGAAGTCTCCTTTATGATGTTTATATTGATACAGCAAACCCTGTAGGCAGATCTGAGCAGATCTGCAGAGAGCCCAGGTGATTAAGCAGTGCTTAGGACCAGGGTGATTATAAATTACAGCCAAAGTTAGGATCTTGTTTTTTAAATTCTGTATTACATTGCTCCTTGTGCTCCATTGATTCTGCCTGGGGAAATCCTGTGCTGTTCTACTCATAAATTCCCTGCTGTATGAATCATAATATCCAGTTAATAAAGCTTTAATTACAGTATGATTTACAGCCACCATCACTCTGCCAAGAATTCCTAAAAGAACCTGTCTGTCCCCTTAGTGTCAGGTGACATTGGAGCTGGTGAGTGACTGATCACTGTGCCTGGCCTGGAAAGAAGCAGAGATTCCTTGACAAAGGGTGAATTTCTGCAGGATCCCATCTCGGGGCTGCCTTTAAAAATGACCGGCAGAAGAAGGGACAAGGAGAGACAGAGCAGGCCGCGGGGGGCCAGCGGAGTGAACGCAGGGCGGGAGCGGCTGGGATGCGGTGACTGACAGGGTTTAATTGCAGGGTGTCGGCTGAATAAACTCCTCGCTGATGGGCGCCCGCGGGGAATTCTTCCCTCGGCGCTCCGCCCGGCACCGGGCTGGATCGGGAGGAGCACAGGGACCCCGGCAAGTCCCAAACTCCCTCGGGGAGCGGCCCCGGCGTGTGGCACTGCCGACAAGGGGCCGACAAAAAACTAAGGAGAGAGAGACAGTTTCCAAGGGCTGGAGTGACAGGACACAGGGAATGGCTTCGCTCTGGCAGAGGGCAGGGCGAGATGGCA